GAAATCTGGAAAGACTGACTTTGGGAAAGGATCTTTTGTGGGTTGTGGATACATTCCCAAATTGGACAAAGATATGAGCCAATCTCAATGAGAGATAGTATAAATTGATTATGGGACTGTGTGCTAAGAATATTCAAACCCCAGAATCAAACTTTTCTTAACATTTCACACAATAATTTAAGAAACAGATCTTGGGGGATGTGATTCTTGTCACTCATCACTCCTGACTTTCAGACTATTCACAAAATTTTCAGCATGGTTTTATGTTGAAAAGGAAACTGAAAATAAGTTCCCTTTTTCATATAAGGTAGTTTTCAGTAAGCATGGAGATTTATCTTGGCCATAGATCAGTAGTGCAGTGAGGCTTTGTATATAGAAAGCCCAAATAAATGTTTGGGGTCATTAATATAGTCAGAATTAACAGAATAATTGAGTTGGAAGGAGCCTTGGAGGTCTTCTAGCCGAACCCCCTGATCAAGCAGGAAACCGTATACTTTTTCCAATCTCTTCTTTAAAAACTTCTAATGCTAGAGCATCCACAACCTCTGAAGGCAAGCCATTCCACTGATTAATTTTTCTGTCATAAAAGTTCTTCATTAGCCTTCAATTCCATTATCATATTTGTTCCTTTTCTTTGTATTGTTTTATATTGTGGCGAACAAAACAAGATGCAATATTTCAAATGTGGTGTTGCCAAACCATGATAAAGTGGTACTAACACTTCTCATAATCTTGATTTTATCCCTTTGTTAATGTAGCCTAGGACTCTGTTGGATTTTTGGCAGTTGCAACACACTGCTTGTGCACAATTAAGTGATTGTCCACTAGGGCTGCAAGATCCCTCTTATAATTATAGTATTGAGCCAGGTATCACCTAGTCTGAACCTGTGATTTGGTTGTTCTTGCCTAAATATAGAACTTTTTAAAACTTTTTTCACCATTAAATTTCTTTTGTTAGATAGGGTCAAGTGTTGAAGTCTCTCGAGATCATTCTGGATCTTAAGCCTACCTTCTGGAGTGATGGCCATTCCTATCAGCTTATTGTTGGATATGTTCCCTTTTATCCCCTTGTCTACATTGTTTATGAAGGGTCAGGTTACATGTGATGGTGACTGGGAATCCGAATTTCAAATTAGAACATTGTTCCACTTGCATAATCAATCGATCTATTGGATTTATGGAGGATGTGATTTAAGCAATAAATGGACACTTGTTGGATTATTTCCATTGCTTTGAAAATGGAAATCTCAGTTCAAACAAAGAACTCTTTATTTTGGTCAGTTAAATAGCATAACATGATTTAACATTCCAAAGAATGATAATACCTCCATCTTTTGCAAGTAGTCCAGCTATATTCAAAAAGCCTTATACCCAGGACTCAAATCAAGAATAACACATTATGATTCTTCCATGCTGAGTTCTTTTTTCTTTCATTCCTGTAAACAAAATCTTGCTGGACTAAGGACTCTACTGTCTTCATACAATACACTCGGTAAACTAATAGAGAGCATCTGTCTCACCATCGTTCTCTCACATGTAATATCTGTGGTGNTGAGAAGTTCATCAATTAAACTTTGGCTGCCTTTTCGAGGCAGCCCAATTGATTTTCACTTCATGGTCAGCCAATATGAAAGCCTTGTATTTCAGGAATTGGGCCTTTCATTGCAATCATTTCCCATAGCAAAGAAGACAGGCTGCAACGGTCTTCTAGGCACAATACACAATTGCAAAATGGCATTTTTTTGCAAGGGATGCCTTACTTAGTAATCCTCAAGAAGATGAAGAGGAAATTTTGAACTGTGTTGTGAATCATAGTTTGACTGTTCTCTGCTGCTAAAGAATTATAGGTGGGAGTATTTTCCATTCTCACCCACAGTTAAAGAGTGCAAGAACAGTGTGCCGGCCAGCAAAGGATGACTGTGACGAGGCTGATCTCTGCACTGGCCGATCGGCTGAGTGTCCCACAGATAGCTTCAAGAGGAATGGAGAACCATGCCAAAACAACCAAGGTTACTGCTACAATGGAAAATGCCCCACCCTGCATAAACAATGTCTTGCTTTATTAAAGAATTCACCAGGTAAGTCAACCAGAGGATTTCAAAAGTAGTTTTATTGAAAAAGACTAATGCGGTCATTGCATAAATCAAAGATTTTCTCATTTGTATCCATAGTAAATCATGATTGCATATAACAGAGTAAGAAGGAGCCTTGGGGGGGGTGTCTTCTAGTCCAACTCCCTGCTCAAGTAGAAAACCTTATAACATTTTCCATCTCCTCTCTACAAATCTCCAGTGTTAGAGCACCTACAATTTCTGAGCATTTTTTACAGTTGGAACATTTTTTCAAGACGAAGTTCTGTCTTTGGAGGCTTTAGAGCCCAGCCCTCCAGATCTGGAGGGATTTAAAGCTCCAGTCATCCTTTGAGAACATGGCCAATGGTCCAAGAAATAGTAGTTGTAGTCAAGAAATCTGGAAAGACTGACTTTGGGGAAAGAATCTTTTATGGGATGTGGATACATTCCCAAATTAAACAAAGATCTGAGCCAATCTCAATGAGAGACAGTGTAAATTAATTATGGGACTGTGTGTTAAGAATATTCAAACTCCAGGATAAAAATTTTCTTTACATTTGGCACAAGAATTGAAGACCCAGATCTTGGGAGATGTGATTCTCGTCACTCATCACTCCTGACTTTCAAACTATTCACAAAATTTTCAGCATGGCTCTATGCTGAAAAAGGAAACTGAAAATAAGTTCCCTTTTTCATATAAGGTAGATAGTTTTCAGTAAGCATGGAGATTTATCTTGGCCATAGATCAGTAGTGCAGTGAGGCTTTGCATTAATACAGTCAGAATTAACAGAATAACTGAGTTGATCAAGCAGGAAACTGTATACCTTTTCCATTCCCTTCTTTTAAAACTTCTAATGCTAGAGCACCCACAACCTCTGAAGGCAAGCCATTCCACTGATTAATTTTTCTGTCATAAAAGTTCTTAATTAGCCTTCAATTCCATAATCATATTTGTTCATTTTATTTGTATTCTTTATAGAATCTCAACATCTGTTTTATATTGTGATGAACAAAAATAGATGTAATATTTCAAATGTGGTGTTGCCAAAGTATTATAAAGTGGTACTAACACTTCTCATAATCTTGATTTTATCCCTCT